TAATAATGTAAGACTTTATTAATCAGCGCAGGGAAAATCTCTGTTTGCTACTCTCCTGGTTTTGTCTCACTCAAGGGCATTTAAGCTGGAGGGATTTACAGTATTTGCTGCCATGGTGGCTTGAACCTCCAGTCATGTGTTTGAAGGTCAAGCTATTCACCACACTACCCTGCTGCTCAAAAGAAAAAAAACAAACATAGTATTGATATGAACCAGAGTCAAGGGACAGCGACATTTGTCAGGATTAAATACCCAACGCAGCATAGATATTGCCAGACTGCTGCACTGCAGTGTCTCTGTGTATATGTGAGAATGTCAAACATTTACACAAGATTAACTTTGTAATATTGACTGATAATCAGTCAGTGACACATCCAGAAGGAAAGATGTTCTAGCTAACAAAGAGAAAGACGTGGCTGGGGACTAATCAAGCGTAATCTTTTCGATCTTCACCTCAACCTGCCTTTTTCCTCTCTCTCTGTAGAGACTTGTATGGTGAGAAACAAGACAGCTCAATAACTGCTTTCTAGTGTCTGTGTCATTCAGCTGACTTATTCAGGGAGGTACTGTATGTTTCACAAGTGGTGTTTTAAATGAAAGGCCCTGAAAATTTATTTTTTCAATCAGCTTCTTACTATGATTGATGATATCCTGCATGAACACACTATTCTCTGCCAAAGCAAGAACAGTTTTGGTTACTTTGGATTATTTCTCACTCTTCTTTGGGCTCTTTTCACTGGGTTGAAGTTGGCCGCGCTCAGCTGGAGAAAAAAAAGGGCGACGTCACATTCAAACATGCAAATATCTGATTACATTTAGGGGCTGTTTGTCACTGTCGATCAAATCTGATCAAAACATCCCTCAAACAGTCCTGATGAAGAAGATTAGCTGAGTTTTTGAGCATTAAACTCTTTTAAAGTTTTTTATTTTCCCAGTCTAACCATGCTAGACTGGGAAATGTTGATGGGTTGATGGGTTCACAACTTTTTTCCATCCAACAACAGCTCTCTCTAGTGCTGTTACATTTGTGTTTTTTGTTAAATGTCTGAACTACTGGATGAATTAAGAGACATTCATGCCCTTCTTAGGATGAAATTAAATTATGTTTGGGATGTTTTATCTGGTCAAACTTTCAATGTGTCCAATACTTTTATTTATGACTAAATACCTGCAAAACTAATGACGTTCACATCAGACTCTGCTGTACTTTGTGTTTAGTGAAATATTAGCATGCTAACACGCTAAACCAAAATGAACATGGTAAACATTATGCATGTTAGCATGCTGACATTTAGCTCAAAGAGGCCCTGTAGTGGCGCAAAATACAGCCTCATAGAGCTGCTACGTGACTGGTCTCTTGTCTGGTGTCTTGTTTTAACTTCACTACCACTAGTCACTACTACCACGACTATCAGCTAATCTAATACAGTTATAGTGAAAAGCCAAGTTAACAGTTACATGGATAAGAGATCCTAAACAAATCTGATGCTGGTTATTTTAACATGCTGGTTGTACAACTTCTGGTGGTCTGTTTAGTGTTCACACATCACATTCAGGTTGACAGTCAAATTGTTTTTTTCTCTCTGCTCCTGTCTATTTGTGGGCTTTATTATGTATCCCTAACACATGAGTTTTTATGTGTTTTTAACACAGGGTTCCACGCTAACCAGGGTCTGATAGAAGGTTGGCTGCCCACCCTTCTGCTACTCAGAGACTATAACATCCCTTCCTTCTTCACTGTGTACAGGTACTGTAACTCTGAAACATATAACATATAATGTTTCACATTTTAAAGTGGGGATAATAACATTCCTTGCCTTTTGAGCAATAGTAAATATTTTAAATTCTTTGTGCCAGAGGGACTAATTAACTCACAATATACCATCTGCTATCCAAACCTCTTTGAATAAGAAATGTTATACCTGATGAATATTGAAACTGTTCAACCTACTGCACCTCCTCCTTCTGTATTATTGTATTTTAAACCCTTCCCTCCTCTATGGCACAATTGTTGTTCACCCACATATCATGTTTGGTCTCCCTACTCCCCACCTACCTGACCTCATCACTACAGCTCTCACTCTCAACACAGTTATCGTTGCCCATGACCCACATCACACCAATCTTTCCGCACTTCACACTCCTTCCCTCTGGTGGCAAAAAACAGTTTCCTGTTTGTGCAAAGTTGGAGAGAAGATAAATTTCTTCTGCTGCAGGTGCTCTCAGCAAACTCCCCCTGTAGACTCTAACTTAATGATAGAGCAAAGTCATTGATGCTGTTCTCTTTCTCTTCTGTTGATACTGTTCCTCTGTACTTCCTCGCAAAGTGTTTTCTTGTGGGTGGATGTTAAAATAAGTGTTTGAATAGATGTTTAATCTCTCCTCAGTCTCTTACAAGGACAACAACAAAAAAAACGTACTTGATTAACCGATTCCTTATCTCTTTGTCTCCACAGCGAGATGGAGCTTAAGTGCTCACTCCAGATCTTGCTGGAGTTGGAGATGCACATCAGGGACAGTGGACCCAATCCATTCACCTCACAGAAACCGGAGCAGGTCCAGTCCTGCCCCAACAAAACCCCAGTCTACTGCAACTCTCACTACATCTGTTTCCAGGGACTGCTGCCTCAAGAAGACTTACAGCCTAGGCCAGACAATTAAGAGGCCATCATAAAGAAAAGCCTGTTTGGGGTGCCACAAGTCCTCCACTTTAAAGATGTGGTTTTCAAAATTGTAATGTGGGACTTCCTGAGGTCCTTGGAGGTCTTCCTGCATCCTTTTAGAGATGGACTTTGCTAATATGTGTTGCCACTTGGTAGATATGGATACATGAATGAATAATGAATGAATTAAAAAAGTTTTATTATTGTGTCATATGTATAATTAAGCACATCCCGCATGGGTTTACAAGACACCAAATTCAGTATAGCCAAGCCCACAGTACAGCATATACAGCATCAAACATGGATGCTGAACCTTCTTATTTGGGGCAGAGAGTGTTTTTCATAGAGAAACAATGCACCGTCAAGGGTGCAATAGAGCACAAAACGCTGTTCTTTCAATTCTGAAATTATCAATGTATGATACAGATTATGGAAATCACTCAAAGCTCATTATTTAAGATGATGGCACCAGAGGGCACCAGCATGGCACTACGGTTTGTACTCTGTGTGTGCCCTGAGGTGGCATGGTTATTGGATATAAAGGGTTATGGGTGTACATACATAATGAGACCAAAATTAGTTCAGTCACCATTTGACGGTTCCCAGTAATTTGTTCTGCAGCTAGATCTATTCCCAAATCTCACAATAGCTGCATGAAATCAGATCATATGCATACTACTGCAACGCGTGATCTAAATGAATGAATTTTTTTTGTTGAGATTCTGACATTTGTATCTGTTGCAGGACTTTAAATGCTGAATTTGCGTTCTGGAGTATGTACTTGCCCTAACATGTCTACACTCATGGCTCTGTTCATCCTGTGTTCACGCTTCCTTCACCTAATCACCATGGATTTGTCCTTTTTAATAGAAAATATAATAGCTCTTTTGTGCTGAGTGGAGACTCTCTATGGGCAATCATGCCTTTTCTCTAACTCACCAATGAAAAGGCCAACAAGCCAAACAGCATTTGTTTGATTATTGTTAGGTGTAGGTTATCTTGTTTATTTTTGTCTTTAAGAGAATCATCTCTTTTAGTTTCTGAGTTATTTTATTTTATTTTATATTTAGTTTAGTCTTTATTTTTGTTTTATGTATATTGTATGATTTTAAATAGTTGTTTGTTAATTAATAATTGCTGTTATTTTGCGTGGACCCCAGGAAAACTGACGACCACTTTGTGGAAGCGAATGGGGACCGAATCAGAATCAGTTTTATTGCCAGGTATGTGTACACATACAAGGAATTTGACTCTGGATTGTACATTGCTCACGATGTGCTTACTCATACAAAAATACAAAATCACAATAATAAAAATAAAATAAAATCAGACACAGCCTCAGTGTAGACAACACAAATATACACACTATGGACAAAAACAATATAGACATATTGACAAATAGTGCAGTGAGCAGAGTGCAAAGGATGCAGGAGTATGTACATGTCGGAGGTGGATGTGATATACAGGTACATATACATGCATACATGTACACAGTGTGATGAAGCATAGTGCAACGGATGCTAGAATAAATAAGTATAAGTATTTTGTGCAGGAGTTATGACTTGAGGTAGGTGGATTTGGTATACACTATCTACAATATGACAATTTAATTTAATTTAAGAATAAAGACTATAATTTGTTTGACCGCAGTTTTCAGTTTTATTCAGAGTAGATAACTAATGCAATCCAAAAACAGCATGAGCCACCATGGGCTTAAAAGTTACCATGATAGATGCAACTGCCTGTTGCCTGAACATTATATGCTTCACCTACTGCAAGCCTATTAAGGGATTGCATTATATTACAAGACATGGACAAATCACAGGATTGTACCTCTGTAGCAGCTTTAAAACTGCTACTCAATGACTACAAAACTATTGTTTCAGCAAACATTTCAAATAATGGTTTGTGATATACATTTCAGCTTCCAATCAAAAAGAGGAATAGCTTAGCAGTAGTCAAGTTATAATTGGAGTTAGTCTTTTTCATGTTTTAAACAAATCTTACTAACCTAAATAGGCTGTGTGTACATCACAATCCTGCCTTTCAAAATAAAAAGCGGGTTGCCCTGTTGCTAGTTGAATAAATGTGTGAAAATACATAATTATGCCAAATAATAACCCTGATACACCCGTGTTAAACATACCGTTACATCTCTGTCTGCATGTGTTTCTTGTCTTGACTTCCTGAGAAGAGGAAATTGATATTGCAACAGCTTTTACAGTGTGACAGCTCCCTCTAGCGGATAAAAGCACACAGAAAGTGGAGTTAATGTGGTAATTACATTGGGGCCCAGGGCTTTTTAAAAATATGATCCTGCTGAGTTGATTAAAATTAAGTTGACTTGTATTTTGATTAAACGTAACTTTGGCTTGAATCGAATCCCACAGTAATGGGTGGGCTTTAGATTTTCTTGCCAGGAAATATTTTTACAGATGAATGTAGTTTTTGTCAAATGGCCCGTAAATGTGTTGCTCTTGCTAAGTAAAGAATGGTCTCGAGTTGACAGAGCTCTCTAGAAGGGAACGAACAGGTGCTATATCTGGCACCTGAGCTTTCTAGAAGGGAAGGCACATGTGCTATATCTGGCACCAGCAGCCCCACAACGGGCCGCTCAAATAACAAACTGCAGGAGCAGCAGAAGAAGCAGCAAGCAGCGCGTGAGAGAGAGACTGCAAATGACCGAAACAGAGAGGTAAGTAGGTCTTGGCCAAGTAATTTCCAGTTCTTTTACCGCGAAATTTGCTTTGGGGAGCATGTCACCAGACTACACCATAAAAATAATAGGTGTCTGAAGCCGCGCGCGCAAGTGCAGAACCGCCTGGTGCTCGTTAAGAATGACAGCTCCACACTTGAATGGCATTTTGAAGTGCTAGCATGACACCACAGCCTATTTCATACCTTTGCTCCCCGCTGGTCCATTCTCTTTCTGTCCGAGTTGTCACCACTAAAGCCTCAGGTCCCTTTTCTGCAACATGTACCTCATTATGAAGCTGCCCCCACAGCCTTCCTCATGCTATAGCAAATGGTCCAGGCTGGCCAGTCTAACAAGAAAAGGGGGAAGGCCTCAGTAGTCTTACAGGTGAGCAGTAGACAAGCTATGTTTTAAAAGTGAATGTTTTCTACAATTAGTATCTTAGCTTGTGAGGTTTAGAAATGTAACTGTTAACCAACTCACTAATGAATTACTGGTCAATAATTCTATTGTGTTCTGTCTTTTATTTGTCTCACCAGAGCTGGTCCTGTGACCAAGGGTAAACCAGTGGCCTTCCGGTCTCAAAAAGAGATGTTTGAGAAGATGGAGGAATCTTTTAAAATCTGCGCATGTTGCGAGAAGCGGCCAAATCAACTCTCAAACCCACAGAGCCTGAAACGTTGCGCCAGGTAAAAAGACAAACCAGTGGGCCTGAGTAGCCAAGTTAATCAAAGTTATTCATTTTACAAATAACAGATCTCTCACTTTTGTCCTACCTTTGCACAGATGTCTAAATGTTTACTACTGCCATAAAGATTGTCAGAAGGACGACTGGCCAAAGCACAAGAAGTTCTGCTCACAGCTTCGTCTAGCTGCCATTGACAGAGTTGTGGAATGGCTTTTATTCAAAGGTAAAACGAAGGCCTATGCAAAAGACAGTCCATTCAAACATTAAAATACAGTGAGAAAAAACAGGTCTCCTTCAATGAAAGGAATGTGTAGGAAAAGATAGTTACAAAAAGTCATAAAAAGTCTCTACTTATAGTAAACTACAAATCTAATTATATTTCTCCCCCCATCACCAGAAGACCTTCCATTCCCTACTGAAAAATGGTCAAAGCCCCAGTCAGAGGTTAAAGGCTGGGATGACTGGCTTGCGATGCAGGGAGATCTCACAGCTCGCCTTGATCCCATTTTAAATGGAGCAAACATGAAAGAATTGTGGACCAACGCTGGCAGGACTCAGCCTGACGATGAGGACCTGAAGCAGAGTTTGTGGAGAGTTTGTAGTGAGTTCTTCTCCCGTCCGCTGACCATAGCCTGGGGGATGAGGCTATTTGGCCTTAACCCTTTTTCCAAACCTCTCACCATTCACCTGGTGGGTGCGGGCCCTAGTGAGACTCTGGCTGCCAGACTCACTGACTATGATGAGCTAAACAACATGTTTCCTGGACACCAGGGTATCGAGATAGTCACGGTGGGACCAGAGGTGGTGGACGGCCCCATCGTGAGGCCTCCTCTCAGGGCATTTGGCCCCAAGCAGAGGGTCTACATCAGCGCCCACAAGGGCCTCTACCACCAGTTCTGGGAGGATGTGGTGGAGAAAGAAGAAGCAGCTAAGCCAGACCTGGTGGTTGGATTTCATCCTGGTGAGAACATGTTCCCGTTACACAAAAACATAATGCCAAACTTACTTTTAGACGAATTATGAATTATCTATCTAAATATGTTGTGTGCCAGTAAACAGCTAGATTAACCAGCTACAGAACAGGGTTTTTTTGTTCAACTCTAAATGATGTTTTCTTTTACATCTTTTTGCGTCAAGGATTTGATGCCAGTCAGGGCCTGGACGATGGCTGGCTTCCAACACTGCTGCTCCTCAGGGATTATGAGATTCCTTCCCTTTTCACTGCTCTCAAGTAAGTGTTACAGAATTATGAAAGTTTTGTTGCATGGAGTAAGTGTGCAGGCGTTACCTTTTTTCAGTGACGCTGTTTTCTGGTCACCTTGCACCTACGTGATGTGCTTATTATTACTCTCCTTCAACTGTTACAGAAAAGCAGCCACACAGATAGTGGAATACTTTACAACACAATTGCAGTAGTTGAAAGTAGCTAAGTACATTTACTTAAGTGCTGTACTTCAACACAATTTTAGGTACTTTTACTGAATATTTCCATTTAATACCACTGTATACTTCTACTTCACGACATTTCAGTGGGACATATTATAGTTTTTACTCCACTACATTGATTTCACAACTTTAGTTACTAGTGACTTTTCAAATTAAGATTCTACATAAATGTCTGTGAAGATTCATCTAGGTCATAGTTGGACCAAAGACGGTTAAAGTCAAGGGCAACTGGACTTGGTTGAACGACTGTCGTTACAACAGCCAGAAACACTAACGAACCAGCGGTATCGACAATCCTGGCAAACGACCCCACTGAGGTTAAATAGCTTAGTTTCCCTACCAGTCAGTCAGAACTGAAGAAGATGAGGGACAAAACGTCTTTTAGTATCTTCAACCAAGTCCAGTTGCCCTTGACTTTAAACTTCTTTGGATTCTACATAAACAACATATGATCGGTTTATTTAATATCAAGCATTATAATAGATTGAACTACTCAAAAGTATATAAAGTAGTTAAAATTTGCTGTACCTCCACCAGCCACAACTTTATTGTCCTGCCTACATGTTAATTCATGATTAATATTGATCCATTCTAAAAAATGAGTACTTCAAGCACATATTTGGAGTATTTCTATAGTATAGTATTGATACTTATGTAAATGAACTAATATGTCTTCTACTACTGCAGAATTATGATAGATTAAAATAGAAAGTAAGTAATTTATTGCTGTGGAAAAACAGAAACAAGTTTCAGATTACATATTACACCACAGTTATCAGATTATACATGCTTTGGGGAAAGGAGCTGTGGGTTAGGAGTTTACAGAAATTATGTATGGAGGTAGAAATGAGATCAGACACTGTAGATAAATACGCCACTGACTAACACAAGAGTTTGTTGCCTACATTCCAAATAAAGTATTTGGTAATATGCTTAAATTTTGGATTTGTGAAGTAAATGCAATTGGTTGAATATGCGCTACTGTACCACAGATTTCTTCCATCAAAAAAGCTATGATATGAAGACTGCATAATCTGTAACTAATTATAATTTCAAACTGTCTTTCCCTTCCACTCACTATCAGATTACTATTAACCCCCCAGATATCCATTTGATTTAACCGTGAATAGTATACAAATTGTCCCAATGACATTGATGCATAGCATTTGCATAACAGTACTGAAAGTATGCAAATATACCAAATGTCTGGTGAACGTGTTACCACCACAGTCAGCGGAGCCCGCTCTTTATCCTCTCACTGCTCTCTTATCGTTCATGTGAATCCATCTGTGACATGCCCAACATGTAATGGCTGCCTCCGTCCACAGTGAGACTGAGATGACCTACTCCCTGCAGATCCTGCTGGAGTTGGAGATGAACATGAAGGGAAGTGGAGCCAACCCCTTCGCGTCGCTGAAACCAGAAGTGGTGGGCTCGTGTCTCAACAAGCCTCCTGTCTACTGCAACTCCCACTACTTCTGTTTCCAGGGTCTTCTGGAGACGGTGGAGTTTGAGGAACCAGAGGAGGCCTGAAAGAGCTGGAACTCGTTTTTTATTTTTTTATTTTCTTTCTGGGGACTATGAAGCATTGTTTTTACAGGCAGTTTTTTTAATTCATTATGGAGTCTTGTAATAATATTTTAAAAATAGTGTAAATATCTGTATGTATTATTGTTAACATGTCAGTACCATTTGACTTTGGTAGTAGCTATGATATGCCATTTGCATTCACTATCTGAGTTTCAATGGCCTGTAACTGCCAGAGTTGTGGGATTTGAATATACTGTCTGAACTATTGTTGCATTAGCAGAGAGGCAATAAAACGTTGTAGAAATAGTCAAATGTTAAGTCTATAATAAAACATTTTAAATGATCAAATACGATGGAGACTGCACTGCCCACTCTGGTTTAACAATGCTTTTGTTCTCTTCATTGTATAGACATGATTTCTAATACATGTTCACACATAATACACCTTTTTTTAGTTTAATTTGACAAGAAATGCCCCACAATAAAAAAGAATGTTTTCATCATGAGGTTGCATTTAGTAACTTAATAACAATAACAATTAGCAACTTTTGAAAATTAAGTAACTAATACTTAACATGACATTAGGCATCATTACATTAAACAGCTACTGTCTGTTAAATAGTTTCATGCAAGTACATGTCAAGTCTACATTTCTAGCCAGATTTAATGGCTAAAACCAGGTCCACAATGTAAAAGACAAGATTGACAATGGCTCCGATGTTAACAGTATTCATGTCTACAAATGAACACTTGCCACAGATGTAAGGATTGTACGTTTTGCGTTTGTATCCAAAGGTGGACCAAAGGATGACAGCGAGCAGATACAGCACCACTGCCACAATGTTGAACACAAGCTCCATTATATTCAGCTTGAATGAGAGTAGACACTGCAGCAGCTTGAGCAGATGGAGAACTATAATGACCACTGTGACCAGTAGGCAAACAGCAAACACAATGATGCTGCATATCATCCCAAAAGGGCGAAAGGCCCATTCACCACTTACAAAGTGGTCAGTGGCGGCAGTGAGAATAATACAAGCCATAAAGGCCTCTGCTGTGCGGAGACCTCCTGTCAGGCTGGATAGGTAACCGCTTGGAAACAACTTTTTTTGCATTACAGCGTCAATCACGAAGACAACTGTGGCAGCCAGGGAGAAGATGAAGCACAAGATGTTGACGATGCAGGAGAGGCAGACAAAAACGGCTGCAAAGATAACTGTGGCCGAGGTGATCATCACAGCACACAGGGTGGTCAGCCCACAGGTCAGGTCAGCCCAGTTGGGGAGGAAGGCAGCCAGGAGGATGTGCCACAGTTTGGACTCCACCACGCTCACGACCAGGGGCACAGTGATGCAGAAAACCCAGACAAACTCACACCAGACACCCCAGGGACTCACCATCCTGCCTCTGAAGATGACAATGATGAGAGGTAAAGCACTGAAGATTATTTCCAGGAGGCGCAAAATGCCCTGACAGCCCTTGAATGGGCCACACATGATGTTCAAGTTAGAGATCTTGAAGTAAAAAAGTAGGATGCAAAAGTCTCTACGTTTACACAAACTCTCTGCAAGAGGAACTGTACCTGTTGCCACTTAATCAGTAACTGTGAACACTTCTTTGTTCTACTGCTGTTACTCATTTTAAGATAGAGCCACGTCTTATACGACAGGCAGGCATAATTCTCACACTTAATATTCAAATTTCCTGAGTTCATGAGTTTCTCTTCAGTGGAGCGAGAATGCTTTTGCATCCTTGACTGTTTCTAAAATACAGTATGTTTTGTTAAAATTCTGCTTATCTATAGATAATTCATGCCAATAATTATTTTTTGTTCTTTCAGTCATTTAATCAGCAGGCAAAAAAATATATTAAGATTCCAAGACCAGAGAATAACATTTACTCTCCATCTTCTTATCTTACATCTCTATTATCTCTGTAAGGATCAAATGCTTGAAATGAAATGAACAGAAATGTATTTCTTTTATCATTAACCAGATGACAATGTTTGTTTTTGTTTTTTACCTTGGAATTCAATTGTAAACTCCAACATAAACAGACACATACACACTATGTCTCTGTCTGTTTCACATACATACATACACACAATGATTTTTTCCCCTGTCATTTAGTATTGAAAAAACGAGGCCACAAATGGGTCTTCATTAGAGCATCATTTTATTTCCATTTGACACCCATCACTTTTCAGTATCCTGGACTTTATCTGTCTGTGGCTGACAGATCCTAGAAAAGACAAGTGTGTTCAATCTCATGTAATCTCATTTTTAAACAGACATGACACAACACATCTATTAATATTCACTGGCAGTGGCATATGCAGTTCACATCACAACAACACATTAGGAAATATGGAAATGGACAGTGACAATATATGCATAGAGCTGAATTGTAATGTCAAGTTCAATTAAACATAGTACATTAAATCATTAATAAAGTGGAAAATACAACCCTCAAACAAACAGATTAATGTTAAATTTCTTGCTTTCAAAAAAATGCCAACATGATATGCAGAATATGTAAAAGAATGCTTAGTATTCTCAGTTTCACTACGGCTTGGATTTGGCCATTTTTGTGTTCTGTGTTCAGTCTGATCCTGAGTGTGTTTGACAACATAATGTAGGCTGTGGTCAATTCTGCTCTTGGGCTCTTGTCAATTATTTCCAAATTATACATGGGGCATGTCAAATTACCTTCCTTTTACTTTTTAGGTCTGGTAATTTTAAATGTGATCAGAAAATGGATGTTTAAAGCCCCAATCCATGATTGGTGTACGGCTATAGTGCTGTTTCTCTTTCCGAGAGTGTGCACGCTCTACTTCATGGGCCCAAATGTGGAAAATACGATGTGACTTCAGGGCAGAAACGGCACTGCTCACCAACATGAGACCACACTTTAAAAGCAAAACTAGTAACCTCTAATTACCTGGAAAACTTAACTTTCATATAATTATTTTTTCATTCAATATAGAAAGACACGTTGAGCACCTGTATGGGTTAAATTGTTACTTGTTTAACAACACATAGCTGTTTAAAAGTGCAGTAAAAGTTGGGAGGTTTAAAAAAAATAGACAGGAAAGTCTCCACCACGTTTATTGACGTTTAAAGCCACAGATGCCAAGCAGGGTAAAAATGAGGTCCAGTGTGAAAAGAATGAGATTTACATAGGTCATGAATGCAACTATAAACTGTATGGCCCAGATGCAGAAGCTGGGCGGGCAGTCGCTGGGACGAGGGTTGTTTTTGAAGGTAAAAATTGGCCACATAATAGCAGCAAATATATACAGCACAACAGAGATCACCAGAAATATAAACACAAACCTGTCCAGGTTAAAGGGCAAACACGTTCTCAGTTTCTTGAAGATGTTGGTGGCTATGATTACAGGCAGAATGGGGAAAGGAATGGCATATGCTATGACACAAAAGATCAGAGCTGGCTTGTCTCTGTAACCAGTCAGTGATATAAAAATAATGCAGCTCACAAAGGCCTCCATAACCTTCCAGAATCCTGGCAGAGCAGCCAGGTAGCTCCCCTTCTTCTTGTCCAGGATTTTGTCCTTCACCACTTCAAGTGTGTAGACCATGGCAGACAAGAAAGCAAACACACTCACTATGATGCCGTAGAGGCATTTCAATTTCAGGCAGACGTAGAAGTTGGCATAGCTGATAGCGACAGAGACGGTCATGAGCGTTGAGGACATGGCCATCCCTGTGGTGAAGTCAGACCAGTCCATGCAAAACATATTGAGTATGATATCAAGCTTAAACATCTCAATGATGGTGATGATGAGGGTCATGATGGGGCAAAAGGCCCAGGTGAACATAGCGTAGTTCCAGTAGGTATGGGTGCTCCCTCCTCTTAAGAAACCCAGGACAAAGGTGACCAGAGACAAGATGATCTGAGCCATGTGCAGCCCACCTCGGCCGGATAACAGAGTTGAAGGAGTAAACACAGCCTTGGACACTGTGTCCTTGACATCATCAATTATTCCCATCTGAGCTGGTGAGCAGTTGAAAAACGTTCTTATGTATGTCTTCCCAGATAGCTGGCTGAGGTGTGTTTTCTGTTGCTTTACTGCCTGTAGAGCTCCACTTTTATGAAGTCTTTTATTGCCTTTCTAGTTTGCATAATAATCATGACAGTGTGTGGTGATAAATGTCTGCTGCAGCGTATGTGAAATGCTTTGAGAGCATGACTGTGTAATGCCAGAATTTAAACCGGGACTTTATTACAGAAAGGCACCCATAACTTATTCACTTTTGATCAAACCTGAATAAAAACTATAGACTTAAAAGCCAACACAAGAGGCACTGCACACAGGGTGAAGAGTGGCATTCTGTTTTAAACCAGATAAACAGTGGAAGATTTCCAATAGGCTAGTTGTTAGATCCTTCTCCGCGGTCCAATCAACACTTAAAACACTTATCGTGGGCTATGTTCTCAGTTTGACACCTGAGTTGCCTCAGAAGATTTCCTAGATGTGACGTGTATAAACAAAATAAGATCAAATGCTATTTTATGTAAATATACACTATTGTGTATTGGTTAACAATGCTGATTGATGACTTCCTGTTGATGCTGAGAGACAAGTTCAGGGCCCCCTTTCAGAAAGCAGGTTCAACAAACTCTGAGTGTAAACCTGAACTCTGGGTTGAAGAACTCTGAGCTGTCAAACTCGGAGTTTTCCGTTTCAGAAAGGCCGATCAGAATAAGTTCAATCAATTCTGAGTATGTTGAGCCTGATGGAAGCGCGTGCGTGGGGATGAAAAAGCCATCATCAATAGAGCTCCGATACTACTATTCACCATGGCAACGGGTAAATAAAGGCAGAGCCTCCATTTTAATCGGGTGGAGCTAGAAATATGAATTTGTGCCAACGCGGACCCTGATAGGCTCTGAAACGCAGGAGTGGAGGATCGATACGTTAACAATATTACTTTTTATAGGCTACAGCGTTGCTTATTCATCATTAACCAGACTGGAATTTCCTTAATGAATGATAAAGTGCTGGAATTATCCTACATCCGGTTATTCATATTAAATAGCTACAGGTCTGTTTATTCAGCTAACCTGACGGGACTAAATGCCGGTGGCAATAACTGAAGAGGAAAATATTAATCGAACAGATTAGACATAGTTTAGGCTGCTCATGGACCTGTGATTGTAAAGTGACAGTCCGACTCAGTAGGCCTATGGCTATTAATGATTTTTTTGCAATGTAAAATGTGCAGCAGGGCCTAGCTCAAATAGTGGCATCGGCAGCTACCAGTGGCATTTCCGGTGGCAGCTTGAGATGCCACAGATTTTTCCTGATATGCCACGGCATAGATATCCATAATAAAGGCTATTGAATAAATGTTTAAGACTTGTATGGATTCTCTTCACTTGTATTACACAATGGGAGTGTTGTATATTATACACACTGGAATGTGTATCGAGAAGAAAGATTCAAACAGTACATATAGCACAGTGATAAATCATTATTTTGGCCAGATGATCTGTATTATGACATTTCTGATGTGTTTGTTGCCTGAGCTGCTAAGAAGCTGACAGCAGTGTTAGAACCAGATTAGATGCAGGTTTAACGCTGGGCTGTGGGTGAATGAAGATGGTAACTAGGTTACAAATAAATCCTTAATAATAAAAAACAAATGAAATGAAGAACAATAAATACATCTGTATCAGTAACCTGGATTTAAAACAGTTAACAAAGACACAAACCGGACATTCGTTTAAATTCTGCCACCTGCTGGTAAAAAGGCAAACAGATCTATTACTATGAAAACCACATTAAATATGAATTTAATATTAAAAATATAGTGCTAAACAGTAACAACTCTGCACACACAATAATTACCTAGGTTAACCAACTGTATTGCACCAAACAATGCGTACATTAAACCTGACTCTTGCTGTTTACATGAAGAAATGCACAATATTATATATTGCATAATAAACTACTGTTACTAACATATTTCTCTGTCCAGGTTTATTTATTGATTGATTGAATCAGCGGCAGATGCCGTGGCATGTAACGTTAGATTGCAACCAGAAATCCCACACAAACAACGGCAGGTACCTGGGTGAATCTGTGTCAGGGTCACCAGAAATACCACATAAACAGCAAAAGGTACCTTGGCCCCTCATGGGAAAACCTGTGGCATTTTGCAGATTGCCACCGGAAATACCACATAAAACAGCGGCAGGTACAATACACATAAACGGCGAAAGGTGCCGTAGCATATCAGGAAAAATCATAGACTGTATATGGGAAAAATCTGTGGCATTTCATGTGAGACATGTCAAAATTGTGAGAGTAGCTGTGCTCTCCATGTTTCAGTCAATTTCTCATAGACCCACCTCCCAAAACTGCGACTACAATATGAAAGGTTATGTTGTATCAGTTTTATAGCCTACAGTTTAGTTTAAACAGTAGGCCTATACGGCAGCACTGTAGCGCACGGTAAGTGTGTTTGTGCAACTGTTTCATCTGCCTTAATGTCCACAGAGTCACTGTGTTTTTTGTGGACAGTGTAGCTTATAGATTTTATTCTGTACTGATAAATTTACAATGTCCAAAGATAACTCTCTGTCCATACATCGATGACAGATTGAACATAAAAGCGTCATGTTCAAGATCATGTTTGGGTTAAAAAAAACAAAAACAACTAACAGCCTATTTAACCGTAATTTCGATGTTTCTAAAGACTTAACTGTGTTCCAATATGTGGTTTGATATCGACAGTCTGAATTAGCAAACGCAGACAGCCGCTTCAGGCTTCGCAGGAGAGGAGGAGTCAGAGAGAAACTCAGTGTTAGTTGAAGTAAACCTCCTCCAGAGCAGTTTAGGTTCACAGCCTAAGTTGCCGGGGTTACAGAGTTTATCTGATCTCGCTCTCTGAAACCGAAAACCCAGAGTTTCCCCTCATCTCGGGCTCAACTTAATCAGAGTTTTCCCTAAACCGGCTTTCTGAAACAGGCCAAGCAAACAAATTCCAAAACAAAGTTGTGTACAAAAAACAAAGTGCGTTTCTGCACGGTTATACTTATTTGTGACACTGCTTCAAGCTAGCAACTTTACGTGTTCCTCTTTATTTGTCTTGGCCAGATGTGATACATCTGCATTCCAAAACACACGAATTGTCCCATTTTGTTGACGAAATGTTCTTCACTGTGTTGGCAAGACTTTATTCAGCAGGGCCCTGTTTCAGAAAGCGGGTTTAGTGAAAACTCTGAGTAAGTTGAGCCTGAGATGAGGGAAACTCTGGCTTTTCGGTTTCAGAGAGCGAGATCAGATAAACTCTAGGTCTGTAACCCCGGCAACTTACGCTGTGAACCTAACCTGCTGGGGAGGAGGTTTACTTCAACTAACGTTGAGTTTCTCTCTGACTCCTCCTCTCCTGCGGAGCTTGAAGCTGCTGTCTCACACACCGTTTCATTTCCTCAATTATACTGTCGATATCAAAGCACATATTGGAACGGAATTACGTCTTTAGAAACATCGAAATCACGACTAAATCGTTTTCTTTTTTACCCAAACATGATCTTGAACATCTGTCATCGATGTATGGACAGAGAGTTATCTTTGGACATCGTAAATGTATCCTCGGCTCAGAATAAAATCTATAAACTACACTGTCCTTTATAACACAGTGACTCTGTGGACATTAAGGCAAAAAAATTTAGGCCTACTGTGCACTACAGTGCTGCAGTTTAAAGTAATCTGTACAAAACTGATCAATGAACAGTAACCTTTCATATTGTAGTCGCACAGATTGAACATTCCCATCGTAGTTATCAACTGGATATATGTGAATATTTCTAAGTGAGGATGAAGGTGGTGCAGCTGAAATAAATAGGCTAAATGTAGTTTAAAAGTGAGTTTTTCATTATCTGGTGATGGAATGTGTTTTAACAGCATTTCATAAAATACGAAATGAGCAAGATTGTGACAGACGTCTTAAACTTCACAGTCAGTTTGAACCTAGAAACATTTTACATTACAAAACAAATCATTAATAGGCCTGCTGAGTCGGACTGTCACTTTACAATCACGTCACTTTACAATCACAGGTCCATGAGGAGCCTAAACTGTGTCTAATCTGTTCGATTAATATTTTCATTTTCAGTTATTGTCACCGGCATTTATTCCCGTCAGGTTCCAGATGAATAAACAGGCCTGTAGCTATTTAAAATGAATAACAGGCTGGAGGAGAATACCAGCTCTTTATCATTCATTAAAGAAATTCCAGTCTGGTTAATGATGAATGAGCAACGATGTATAAAATGTAATATTGTTAACGTATCGATCCTCCACTCCTGCGTTTCAGAGCCAATCAGGGTCCGCGTTGGCACAAATTCATATTTCTAGCTCCACCCGATTAAAATGGAGGCTCTGCCTTTATATACCTGTTGCCATGGTGAATCGTAGTATCGGAGCTCCATTGATGATGGCTTTTTCATCCCCACGCACGCGCTTCCATCAGGCTCAACATACTCAGAGTTGATTGAACTTTTTCTGATCGGCCTTTCTGAAACGGAAAACTCCGAGTTTGACAGCTCAGAGTTCTTCAACCCAGAGTTCAGGTTTACACTCAGAGTTTGTTGAACCTGCTTTCTGAAAGGGGGCCCAGGTCAGTGTGTTGTGCTCAGGTGGGTGCTGGCGCTTGTTTCTGGGGAAGGTAAATAGAACGCACAAAGAGGAAGTTGTTGTCAAGTGTCGCTAGCACTGCCGGGCCAGTAGCAAACATTTAGAAATATGTCTCTACTTTTCTCCCATAACACCGCAGACATTTAAAAATAACTCTGGAGGAAGCCGTCGCCTTGTTGGAACTATATTTAGTTGTGATGGTAATTTCATTTTCCTGGGCTATTTACTTTATATTCGTGTCGAAGCCGTTGTTTGGGAAAAATTAGCTAACGTTAGCAATGGGTCGATGACACAGACTGCACTGCAGCAGAAGAGTTTGAGCAACGCCCAGCTTCTTGCATTAGCGAAGGTGTGAAGAGGGCAGATGGATTTCTCCAAATTCCTGGACGATGATTTTGATGTGA